AAGAGCAAGGGAGATCATGTAGCACAATAATTGGAGGCAAGGATGGGAACGAATATGCAAGTACAAGAATGAGTCATTTGACTGTGTGCTATTTGGTTTAAACAGGAACATTATCATTGACACGTACGAACATGTATTGAGACAGAGTAATATTATATCAATGAATATATGTGTATGTGTAAATATATCTAAACACTTGACCATTTATAATATTCTTGAAATTTCGCACGACATTTATTACTACATCTTTTGCCTCATTTATTTAATTCTCTCCGTTGTTCTATCATTCGTTTACTTACATTTCCTTACAAAGAGTTTTTATTGCGGAACTCTTTCTTCTACCTTTTATCCAAACTTTGTAGCTGTTGGAGTTGTATTGCCATTTGACAATCATTGATCTCAGCAATCATTGATCCACCTTGCAATGCTAAGTATCTGTCATAATTAAGCATAAATTTTTTTCTGTCACTCTAAACAAGAAAAAAAGTATAGACTGTTTAATGACATCGATGTATCATGTGTTTTTTTTATCAAAGACTGGTTTCAAATAAAAATAGCACGAAGCAGTTTTTATAGTTTAAAAAATTTGTTCAAATTTTGAATTGTTATAAAAAACGATAATAAATTTGAATTGAAAGCTTGTAAAACGATCAAAAGAAAAGCAATAATTTAAATCCTATATTTGTCTAGCAACTGCGCTTACTTCTCATTGCGTTCATTTCAATATTATAGAAATACTATTTGAAAATACATTTAAGAATTTGGTGTACCGCTATGCCGCCAGAATAACAATGTACGGGAAAAATTCGAGCGTCTTCTAGAAAAAAAACTTGATTTCTCCATTCGACACGCTTCTGAATACGGTAAAGATTAGATTAAATGATTGCTTTTTGACTTTTTTTTGGCATAATTTTTCTCATTTACCCCTTAAAAAATTTGCAAAAAAAAAAAGAATTCAAAATATTTTCGAGTATTTTTAGGAAATGTGATGTGTAATTTTCTCGCTGGTCTACGAAAACGATTGGATGAATATGGAGCTGACAAGCTTTTTGATCAAGCAACTTTACAGGTTTTGTCGATCGATTACCTAAAAATTTTATCGCAACCGTTGCGATTTCCTATGCGACGGAAACAACGACGTCTTCATTCGGAACGATCTTCCAATCGACACCATCGTCGTCAGCAACAATTTGCAGCTGCGAATTCTATCTTTAATTCGGGATTTTTTACCGATGATTTTTACAAACAATTTTTTAAGATTTATGTGCAATAGAAAAAGATAAATATCTGTGAGAAGTTTGTGATGCTTTCTCCTTAATCTCTTTCAGATTTCTGATTCTTGCATGACAGATATCAATTGATATTACTGGTATTGACTGATTATCTTATCAGCATGCGCCATAAAATGTTAGTAATTATGTATTGGCATGCTTGATAATATGATTTCTTTTTATTTTCTAAAAATTATCCCACGGTGCTCTATAAATGTTCTTTCGTACTTTCATCTTCATTCCTTTTGAATTTTTCCAATTTATTTTCTAAAATTTTTTTTCCTATTGAAATACTATGTCGTCTTTGAATTTCAAATTACTCATTTAATTTTTGATCCTATTTAAAACAAAAACATACTACATTTCAAATTTTTTTGCAAATCAAAATTATTATTTTAATCTAGCTAATTCATCTAGTATTCTTGCTCCTGATGATCAGATTAGGCCTTAGTTTTTGTTATTTGTTTATTATCTGGTCTAGTAATAATGCGGTATTTCTTTCATTTGATTTTGAAAACATCAAAAGATTTAAAATATACTGTTTTCTGTTTGCTCGACTTATTAGGAATGGAAAGGGATATGTTCTTTTAAATTCCCGATGTAACTTTTGACTGAGTTCTTCGAAATTTGATCTCTTAAATTTCCAACCTATTCCATATCTCTCCGCGATGTTGCGAAATTTTTTTTAATTCATTTGTATCCTTTAAACTTCGCATTTATATACAAAATACTCTAGTGTTAGCTATTGTTTTGAAAATAATTGGTGAATCTTACAATTTTTTAATCACTAGCGAATTTAGAGAAAAAACCTAGCTATAATTTGTATTTTAAAATTTAAATGACTTCAAAATTTTTTGAGGAATTAAAATTCTCGTATTTTCAATGATAAATTTACTTTCTGTCTTTTTTTTGCAAAACATTGCTTAATTAATTTGACAGAATTGAATTATGTCAAATTGCGATTGCTATTAATTAGGATGTTTTAATTTGGAATGAATTAATTTCAATTCTATTTCTGTAATATTTTCTTTTATTCAAATTAAAGGGAATTTATCAAAATGGCCAAATTTTCTATTTCAACTGTACTTTATGAGCACTCTCCTATACTATTCGTTTACTTAGTTTACTGTTAGCTTTAGGAATTGGAAGATATAATTCAATTAATTTTAGTTTGTATTTACTGTCATAATGTTGATCTGTTTACATTTAATATTGCTGTGCTTATAATTCAAATACTTTCTCTTCCAATGCTTATAAACTTTTATTGTGGTCAAAATAAAACACCAAATAATTGTTAGCAACACAATTAGAAATTAAAGATTCTTTTTTTTTTTGTTTTTGCCACGCATTATTTGAAGTTTGTTGTATTGTCATCGTTACCACCAGTGCATTATTATTATCATTATATTATAATTTAACGTACAAAATGTATATTGTATTGATAGTAGTGACAAATGCGACATTTAGAAAGAAATAATTCGAAATGCTTTATGCTAATAATTTCAAGCAAAGAAAGTTGACATCGATTTTTGAAATTTTGCTTGTAAATTTCAATAAAGTACTAAATTTATCTAATAAATTAATTAGTTTTGAGGTAATTTTGCAAGTGAAAAGATAAAATGAGCAGAAATGATCGATTTCTTCCGCATCATCGCCGCTACTATCAAAAATGATTTATTTTCAATTGAAGTACCAATGAAATCAGTGCAATTTTATCTGTTGTTGTGCAATAGTAAATTTATAGAGTTTTTTGTTGACTTTGAACTTTAACTTTTTATTTATGTCAATAATTGACCACCGGAAAATGCAAATTCGTGGATTTTCCCTTCTCTTCAAGGATTATTATTCGGGAAATATTAGCAATTTTTTGGATTTTATCTTGACAATCGATACTGGAACCTACCTTCAAAAAAATAACTACCTGTAATGATTTACCTGGTGATATCAGATGGGAAGAAAAAGACCTTTAAGAAGCGATAACAAAGAAGATAAGTGGGAATTGAAACAGGAGGCTGATAACTGAACGTACGACCGTGTATCCTTTACACATGAAATTTCGAGCCACGTCATGAGTAAGACAATACAAAATGAAATGATTCGGTGATTAATCGAATTACGTTACGAAATAAAAATTAATTATTAATCTTATTACAATAGATTATGTTTTGAAAGTTTGGTATTGAAGTAGGCATTGAAAGTATTGAAAAAAATGCAGCGTGTCGCAAATGATTATCAGAATTAATAACTCTTACTGATCATTAAAGAGAAATATCATCAAAATGTTTACTGTGTCTCGTTAAGATTACGATTTGAAAGTAACAATTGAAAATTTTTAGTAAAATTTAAACTGACATTTACAAAAATGAAAGTTTGTAAGCTTTATTTCAAGATAGAAATAAATTTACGAAAAAATATAGGAACATTCATCATAATTAACACTTGAGAATTTCATTTTGACATTGCATAGAACTGATAAAATTTCACTGAAAATTGATTATAAATGAATGGAAATAGAAGTATTGCAAATATTTTTTCTTTCCTACAAATTATTATCTTTGAAAAGAGCTATTTTTTCCAAGTTTTCATTTAAATTTCTTTGTAAAAATTATCAATTTGTTGGCAAAATATTAAGTGGTATGATTCCAAATCAAATAAAATTGAAACTGTTTTTCTCAAATTTAATTCATTTCATACATTAATTTTAGAAAAGTGATAAAACTACTGAAACATTCGGTGTAATTTATTTTAGTAATTTTTCAAATTACACAATGTATGTGATTAAATATTTGAACAAGGTTACCATAACAGTTGCTTGACAATTTATTTTCGTACATTTTATGGTCCAAATTGTCAATAATCAAAAATTAATCTAATTCCTAAAATTTACAGTTACGCAAAATTGATAAAGAAATTTTTTTAATTCCGGAATAAAATAAATTCGTTTTTTTTCGAAAATTTCTCCATTATACCATCATCATAAATATGGTTTATTGATACGATGTACTACCATTATAATACAAAAAGAATATGATTTCAATGATGAAATGTTCAATCAAATTGTTGAAATCTATTAAAAAAATAAATCAATTACTACCTATTGCAGTTATCTATTGGAATGACAAAGTTCCAGAGCATTTTCACATATTTCAAAGAAAAAAAACAATATTTTTTAAATAAAAATTATTTCTCCCTGTGATATCAAATCACTTTTCAAGATTTCTATTATCATAATAAAAAGTGCGTTTTAAATGGGAATGAAGAAATTTTTAAGTTACATGAAATTGAAACAAAATTAAAATTAAATCACTTACAAGTGTCCATACTGTGATCTCAGAATTCCCTCCGAATCAGATCATTGATTTTGGTATATTCTTCATGACTTGAGAAATGATACGACAATCCTTCAATATAATGATCAGAAGAATTTCTCGCGGTACTCTTTTTGCTTTTTTTAATTTTCAATAATATTAAGCACTACTTTTGAATATTTATTTCCATTTCCAAGCAATTTTCTGTTGCAAATTTTCCACATCGTCAATTTTTTCTGTGTTTTTGAATCTGTCAACATCTGTCTTCCTGAGCAATTTGAAAATTCTGCAATTATCTTTTTCTGGTTTATTTTAGTAAATAAATCATGCAAATTTTTTGATGTAAAGTAATTAATTTCATTATTCCAGCATTTAAATTTTAAACCTTTTTACATAAAATATTTCGCATGAAGGAAAGAATTCGTAATTGTTTAATAACTGTAGAATGTCTTTTAAGCTAAAATGTTTTATAATTCTAGAAAAAAAATCTT